TTAAGAGACAGTCCATGACAGGATCGAGTATTCACGTCATACGATAATTTTTCACATATCCTTCTGATGATTGCAAATGAAAGAGCATGTAAAAAAACCTATAATTCTAAAATTTTACGATTTTCTGACTCACGGCTGAGCGGTTATCAGAGGATCTTTGGAGATCGCTTGATAAAATTTTAGATTTTTGTTTATTTTTAGTATTTGATTTTTCTTCTATTAAACCTTAATCAAATCAAATTGAATTATTCCTCAAAAGATAGAGTAAGTTTCCCTCTACAAAACTATGTACTTAGATTTTACATAAATAGTTTTTTACTAGGTCTGTAAAGATTTAATACTCAAAAACCTACCCAAAAACCTGCTTAATTTTTTGCTATTTTTTACTATTTTCAAGGAACAAAGTACCAAAAATTATTTGGGCCGAAAATAATTTCTTGTGCATTTGATAGAGTGAAAAAAACTGCACAAGCTGAGCCTAAAAGAATATCCAAAGAGAATGCGCATAGTAGTTTTATTTAGCTCACAAGAAAACTAATGGTAGCCAAAAATCATACTTTATTAAAATTTTTTTCAAAACTTTTTCAATCAAATGAAATGTAATTATGATTTTTGTGATCTCCGTAAAAAACTGCATCAACCCATATATAAATCAAGATATTTCAATCCATAAAAAGCTTTGGAAATTTGTTAGCTGGGGTACCCCCGGGTTTTTTTTCATGAAAGTTTTTTTCATGAAAAACACATATCTATAGATCCAGTTTTCATTGCAGATGAAGAATTTGTTGACGAGAGGACATGATAATGGTTTTATAGATACGATATTGTCAGTGCTGGGCCGGCGCTCTAGATTGTGGTGTGACATCATGTTATGATGTCCGTGAGTGCTCCATACTCAGAAATTTGAGAGCGGCCGAAGAAACTTTTTAAAAGTTTTTGACAGCTTTGAAAAACACTTAAGAAGGGCTACCGATTCTTCCGTAAACTTCCACCAATTTTTTGATGATTTCGAAAAAATTTCTAAAAATTTCTACCAAAAAACGAACGAATTTCTGGACATTAAACGCCGCCACTTACTTTCTATCCTTCGCTTAAGATACATTTGCTAATATCTGATATTATTACAAAAGAATAACACGTTTTTAGTGTCTTTTGATCAAACAAATAAATATATAGACGTGAATATTACTAATAATCTTTTCAGGTATGACACTGGGCACCAATTGCCTTTGGGT